TTTAAATACAAACGTCGCTAAATAAAAAATTTTCCTTTTTTTTTTTAATATTTATTATAATTAAATGAAAATTATTAAAAGAAATAAAAATGAATTAAATTCATAAACTGAATATTATAAATATTTAAATATCTAAATACATAATTTGTTCCAATATGTATGTAACACAAAGTTTAATACATACAATAACATTTCACTTTACACTTGTTTTCTTCTTGCCCATTAATGGACTTCATAAAAGGAGTCGCACTTGCTTTGAATGAAGCCTACAATGCCCAGTCCTCATCTTGGCTTCCATTGCTAAAGAGAACATTTTTTCAGGAACCTCAAAATGTGTTGTTAGAAATGCATCACAATACATTTCATTTATCTTCTCCACAACTTCATGTTCCATCCTAATTGAAAAATGTCACTTGGTAAGTTATAAAAACTATCATAAAATTTGTAATGCAAGATAAAATCAAAGAAGATATACAAGATCTCATTTTTACATACATGCAGAAACAACAGAGAAACAGATTTAACCAAAGTAATAAACTAAGTATATATTTTTGGCCAATGATCAAGATAAATGCACAAGGCAAAATGATGTACACTTCTTCTCTGAGTGCATTTCACGAAAATGCCTTTCATAATCGTAGTTCTTCCATTTTGCATATATCATTATGAAATTTCTAGACTTGAAATGCAGTATCATATAATTTGAGAGAAAGAGAATATATGAAAGGCTGAGAGATAGATCTTCAATCAAGTTCATGTTTGATTGCATTGGAAAAAGATAAAGATCATTTGATTCCATGAAGTTTATAAGATAAACCATTTCAAATCATATTTTCTACTTGTAAATAAATTCATAGAAATAAATGGATTCAAATGCTTCAAGAGGGAAATAAACCAATCATTCAAAATAAAATGTCCACGCAATAGAGTTTCAAGAGAGAAATACAAATTATGTAATGGATAAATCAACTATGTTGTACTTTAAATTGATGGTACAGCTGTGTCTATAGAGATCAATGCTTTTTTAGACTTAGTAGCAGCCAAAACTATATCATGAAATCATTAGACAGTAATTGAAAAAAGTATATAGGACCAATCCAAGTTTATAGGTCTACAGTATGCACCTTTCAATTACTACAATTTATTAATCAAGTTTGCTACAAAATTCAACTAGAAAATGGTAGCAAAATAGAGAAAAATAGCTTTATGAACTAGTAACTCAAGTGATACTTAAAACAGAGAAAAACAGAGCATTAACAACTAAATCTATCCAAACACCAAATGAATTCATGAAAATAAATGCAATCAATTAAAAATAATGAGTAAACATGTAAAACTAATAATGTAAAGTATGAGAGAATCAAATCGAACACCTATAAGGACAGAGGATCATCATTCATCAAGTTTTCATGCATGGATCATTTCTATCTTCTGAATTCAGCCTTAACTTTGAAGATTTAACTATACTTGTATAGATGGAATTTGAGGCTGAATTTTTACTAGATTATAGCCTTATGAACTAAGAATCTAGGAAAAACATTTGAAGTAAATCAAGGTAGAATTCATTGAGTTTTGATCAAAACACTGAAGATAGGTCAGGTGTACGATTTTGAAACCAGATTTAAGTTCAACGTGAATTTTGCAGAATTTGAAAAGGAAATCATGAGAATTTGTAAATTTCATTATGAAAATCTTAAAGAACATTCAAAAAGAATGTAGGAAACCTAAAATTGTAACAAGATTCAATTAAGAAAACTAAAATTAAAAGTTGTTTGGTTGGAAAGAAAATGAAAATGACAGCAGATCAAGTTTTGACAAGAAAAATGAAAGTTAAAATATCAGTTTGTGCTCTAAGTTGCACCAGAAAAGATATATGAAAACATAAACTTCTTATAAGATATCTGATTAGTCATAAAATATGGCTTAAAGAAGGTTCAGGAAAGTACGAACAAGCATCAACAAATATCATACAAACATTCATCTGAAACCATGGCCTCTCAGCCCAAAACCTCTCAGCTTCAACAAATTATTAAAAGAAGTTCTTTTTGTAATAGAATACAAGATTCAAGTACATTCAGTTATTATGAATTTATACTTTATACAATTCCCTTGATTTGAAAATATTTTTTTCAAAACAATTACGTTTCTCACTTCCTCTCACACTCACCCAAGCACATTCAACACATTAAATCAAACAGCAAACAAAGATTTTCATATTAAACCAACAGAGATAGAGCAGAAATCAAGGCAAAGCATTCACATGTAGATATGAGATAAGTGAGAGCAACCTTGTGTTGAAGTACCTAAAGCGCTTTCCTGTGGTTAAAAAGACTAGAAGAGCTATCTCAACATCGCAAAAAGTGGAAAGCTCATGAGTTTTCTTGAAAAGTCATCATCTTCTCTTTGAGAAAGTCACCCGCCTTGTTGCTACGTTGTCAATCTTCTTGATTTAAATTTTCTTTCTTACCATTCTCTTCCAATAAAAAAGTTGGGGAAAGAAATGAAATTATAAAGAAGAAAGATGGGGTTTAAATTTTGAAGAAAAATTTTATGCGCGTCATTTTTTCACGATAGTGACATTTACTTTAAACAAATGTCACTATTTGCAAAAAAGATTATTGAAGGCATTTCAGGCAAAAAACACCTTCAATAATCCTCTTAAATTTTTTAGAAAGGACTATTGAAGGTATTTTCTATAAAAAAAATACCTTCAATAATTCTCTTAAATTTTTTAGAGAAGATTATTGAAGGTATTTTTTTGTAAAAAAAATGCCTTCAATAATCCCCTTAAATTTTGATGAGAAAATTATTGAAGGCGTTTTTGAAATGCCTTCAATAATCTCTTCTAATTTTTTTAGAGGAGATTATTGATGTAATTTTTTAGCCAAGAATACATTCAATAATCTCATCTAATTTTTTAAAGGGATTATTGAAGGCGTTATCTGAAAAAAAACGCCTTCAATAATCCCCTTAATTTTTTATAAGGAGATTATTGAAGATGTTTCAAGCAAAAAACATCTTGAATAATGTGCTCATAAAAAATGAAAAGATTATTGAATGTGTTTTTTTACCAAAAACACCTTTAATAATCCTCTACAATTTTTTTAAAAAATTATCGAAGGCATTTTCTACAAAAAAACGCCATCAATAATTGCTTTTATTTTTTATAAGAAGATTATTCATGGCATTTTTTTGTAAAAAAAGGCCTTTAATAATCACTCCAATTTTTTAGAAAGGATTATTCAAAGCATTTTAATCGATTAACGCTGCTAATTTTTGTTTTTAGTAGCGTTTATAAGTAACAACGCTGCTATTTGAATATTTAGTGGCATTTTTATAATAAATGTCTTAAGTTTTATAAAAATACGGAAGTTAACGGTGTTTATAAGTGAAATGCCGCTACAAAATTACCGTTAATACGCCATTTTCTTGTAGTGTATGGAGAGTTCTCAAAAGAAAGCTGCAGTTTAAGCATATGAAAGAGCAAAGTTGAAAGTTCTTGTAAGGTTTTTGGTTATTAATTCATTTCCAGACACCAGATTATTAGAATTGTTTGGATAAGTCTTTCCAGCTCTGTTGTTCCTGGTGTCCCTTGACACAAAGGCCACAAATTTCAAGCCACAAGACTGTAAGGCTCCTTTATTTCACCAGTGTTTTTACTCTTGTATCAGTTGACAATGATCTTGTATCATAATTTGATCACCCAAAATCAGAAATCTTCTAGCTGCAGTCTGATAACATAAAATACACTGCTTTTTCTTGCTATGTTTCAATTTCAAACTTTATTTTCAGTATAGGGAAATCTATGAGATTTTGATTGATTGGTAAGGGAATCATGAAGAATCCTGGTTTTTAGACTTCGGATGTGAGATTTTGGCAATGGACATTTCTTTCTACAGTGCTTTTCTGAGATTGTTGGTTCCATTTGTAGGAAGATTATATCACTTATAAATACAGATTAAGCATTATATCATCCATCCTTTCCTCCTCCAGGTTAAAAAATAAGTACAGTTCGGGGTATAGGTAGAATGCAGCAACAGTGTTTCAGAAACAGATATCTCTTTCTGTCAACAGACAGTTCACACAATTGCCTTGGTATTCCAGAGAAGGAGAAGAAGTCTGATGTGTAAGACAATCCTTATGATTACTCCAGGTCACCAACAATTGAATGAAGAATGAAAGTTTGTGAAATTGGATTCAGAAATGAAATAAGCTGAAGATACATAATAAGACAAATCACATATTTAATAGCCGCAATACCCTACTCCTAGCATTAGATGAGTTCCCTACAGGATTTTAATCAATGAGTGTAGGGTCATCATACTTATTGTGCATGTTCAGTCGTTTGTTACAACTGAAAAAAATTCAAATACTATATGATATTTTTAAGCAAAAAATCTCCAATAATACTTTTCTGCATGTATTCAACCCCAAACTGAATTGTAGTAAAGAACAAAGCACTTTTCTGCATGAGGTTTGTGAATAGCAGATAAAGCCTTGCAATGGTCAAGGACTACAGGCATTGGAAGCTACATTTCCGTCGGGGTGTGTGTCCGAGCACACCTACTGTATTTTCTGTCGTTTTAAATCATAAACCAACTTGATCACCCATCTATATCTTGGAAAAAAAGTAATAATTAAAATATGAAGGAACTCGAAATAGAGAAAACTAACTGCAATATAATGAGTTTTTTTTTTTTTTTGGCCAAAGATAAAAACACACTACTTGTTAAAACCATGACAAATTTAACAAGCACTGCAACAGAATGAGTTAACCATGCCAAATTCTCTCCATCTTATGTCATAATTTCAGTTAAATCATTGTCACAGCGCATCATGTTGTTGCTTAGAACAATACATCGTCAACGATTACAATCTTCGGTAATTTCCTTTATTTATTTTTGAGCAGTTTGTCTTTACAAGGAACCATGTCTCTTTGCAATGTGTGGTTTATAATCTACCATTCCAATTCTCAATAAAAAGTAATAGACTTGTTGCACTAGAAAACAAAGAACATGCTTTCTATTGAATTAAAAATAGTTACCATCCAATAAATACTACTACAATCAGACAGAAGAATCCTTACATTTTCCATTGATATCTACGGAGGATGCTGAAATAGATTCATCTTCAAAAATCAATTGGTAGACCAAAAAAAAAAAAAAAAGGGAGACAAAGGGAAAGAGTTCCTTGCTGTCATGAATGTGTAATGCCAGGGTGAAAAAATGCCTAATCCAGGTGGAATTATTTTCGTTTCAAATGAGCAAAAGAATTGTCAATCACTTATTTCAAAATTGTTGAATCATGAATGGTCACAATCCGGTAATATTTAGACTCTGAAACTGAATCAAGCAATCTAGTTGAGCTACAATTATACTGAACTTCTTGGATCGCCTCCCAAACTTGACACATGAGCTTCTCTAGCTTCTGTTGCCAATGCATCTCGAATAACAGAAGCCTCTTTCCTAATTGAATTCTCATCTAAGCTAGCTTCCTCATAGTACTGAGATCTCTGATCATGCACCAAGTAATCTCCCATCCATTCACACAATGCAGAATCATCCTCTCTCATAAGCAAAACATTATGCAGAATTGAACAAGCCCCAATAATTGCGACCGCAGTCTTAAGTTCTTCTTGCATTGGTTGATTCAAAATTCCCCAATTCCTCAAACTAGCAAAAGTTTTCAATGCTGAAACATGCATTGGACTAAGTGCCACATTGAACTTCATTTCGCTTGACCCTGGAACCACATCAACGAAAGGTACCATTAACCACGGAAGCAAAGGGTACCCTCCATCGCCAACCAAATATTGACTTATAGCCACTCCATTAACCATAACTGGGCTTGAATTGAGTAACCTCCCTTTCTCAATATCTTTATACAGAGTTGAAGATTTAAGGACTAGAGAATCACCCTTATCTCCCTTAAAACCAGCAACAATGCTCAAAATTCTTGATGATGAATCCACCACTAACTGAACAGCAATGCTATCAATGCTTCCATTGTTTTCATTTATAATATTGAATCTATTGCAAGAAATAACGCCGCAACAATTTGGCAACCCCGTAAATTGTTCAAAAGATGAAGATACAGACTTTAGTTCCTCTGGACTAGGAAATGCAACCCAAAATCGGAAATTGGTGCAAAGAACGCGGCACAAATGTTTAGCACAGAAACGAGTCACAGACTCGGAAACCCCAAATCGTTGAGCGATTTCAGGGTAACTTGAACCGGTGGCTAATCTGAATAAACCAATACCAAGCCTTAACTCAGCCGATAGATTCAACGGTGAGCCAACCGGGTCACGGCACTCTAGCAGCGGCTCGAGCAACCCAGCGAGCCACTCAAAATTAGAAGATCTCATTCTAAAGCAGGCTTTGAACGAGTCAGGATTCCGAGTCAAGCAGAGTCTGACTCGGTCATCGTCGAGTCGATGTAAAAGTTCACGGCCCGCGTCTTCACCTATGGGTTCAGATTCAGATTCTGGACAACGGGTTCTCTTCCTTTTCCTGGAAACAGAAACGAAGGAAAGATTAGCGGCGATTTCTTGCGATGACAGCAAATAGTTGAGGATGGAAAAGACGCTGCCATCGGAAACGAAATTATTGGAATTGTAAGAATTGAAGAGAAGGAGAAGCAATAAAAGGAATTGAGAGACAAGGGAAGAGAGTAAAGCTGACAATTTCCGGGGATCCATAACGTGCCTTTTTGTCGGGGAATGAGGAATTGGTCTTCTTGGGAATCGAGGTTTGTGTCAGAGAGTGTTGGGTACGTGAATCAGGGAGGACCCAACACTTGAACACACCTGGCTACCTGCTTGCTCGTGTGGAATTTGTAATTTTTGGAACCTGCTTGTGGGTCATCCACTTTTTCAATTCCACATTTCCACTGCATTTTTCTGCTCACATTTCATTTTTTGGGCTAGTCATTTATATGATCCAACGGGCTTTCCTTATAACCCAAAAGGATTAAGTTCCAGTTTATTACGACAAAATATTAGGATGCTTTGAATTACTTCATTGTTTTTTCGGAGAGGAGGTGCCTTGAAATTTGTAGTACACTAGTACTATTAAAAAAAATTTTGGCAATAAATAATTTTGAAAGTATTTAAGATGATAACAAATTTTAATTTACTTAATTCATGTAGATATTTTTAAAATTTTTTAATAAATTAAAATTTTATATAATATTTATAATTTATTTATTTATTTTTAAATTGTGATTTATATATATATATATATATTAAGTTGGAAGAGGGATAGTATTAAGAAGAAAATGCGTAGACATATTTTATAAACATAAATGGGTAGAATACAAAAAATTGGATTGTTTGACCCCAAAACTTAAAATTAGTTATTGTAATAAGTGAAACCATTTATCAAATCCTTTAAATCAAATAATTGCTAATAAAAAATTTGAGGATATTTAAAAAAAAACATATAATTTTTTTATATTTTACAAATCAAGCCAAATCAAAATTAAAAGATAAATCAACTGGAAATTTAATTTTATTAATTCATTCTATCATCATTAATAAATAATATTTTTTAAATTTAAATTTTAAGATATGTAGTTTTTATTTTATAATTTTTTATTAAAAATAAAAAGGTGCTGCCGAATAACTCCTCCATCTGAACATTCATCTTTTGAAGCCCCAATAACAATGGCCATTATGTTGAAATGATGAAGTTGGGTGTTGGAATAACCCAAAAAACCATTCTGGGCATTCTAGAAGCCTTGCTTGCCTCCGCAACCAAATAAAAATTATTTGGCCCAATTTTAGTAACCATGGCCTGTAATTGCGTTTGTCTTGCTTGCTAAACTTCATCCAAATCCTTCCCCGGCTGGCTCCGAGGTTTAACTACTTTTTTTTTAATTTACATTTTTATTAGACAGAAAATAACAATAAAAAAAAAAAACGAGTAATGGGGCCCATGGTAATGCATGAAAGATACGTCTACAACAAAATGCCTCAAGCACTTAAAGACTTCAAGACAAAAACTTTGTTTTTTTTGTTATTTTTATTTATATTCAAAAAGTTGTACCTATTTTCAGAATTTATCTTATTACAAATTCAATAAAAAAAAAAAACCAATATTACAAACAAAATACACTTACTCTCTTTCTCTTTCTGTCTGTTTCTCATCCATTGTTTCAGGCTTTTGGTCTTGTCCTATTCCGATGATCTACTTCTCTTGCAAAATAAGGAGAGCAAGAGAAAAGTCCAAAAACTCCCCCAAAAAATGAAAAATAAAAAGAACAGGATGAAACGAATTGAAGAAACGCCCCTGATTCCTCTCTTGACAACTGTTTCTCTTAATACCCTTTTAATCTCAAAAACCCAATTTTTTATCGCTCTTCGTTTCATCATCTCAGCTTTCTTTTTCAGGTATTTCTCTTCACCCATGCGATTTTTTTAAATAAAATATATTAGCTTTAATGTTCTAAAATATTTTTCTTTTAAATCGTTTTATTTTGTCCTGGGATTTCTTTGTTTTTGCTAATTTTATGGTTGTTTACTTTATTTTTTTATTCGATTTTTTTTTTTTAAAGTGTACGAGGGATCGAGGTCGACCCATGTTGGGTTCTTTGCAAAGTTTTTTTTTTTTTCAATGGGTATTTATCTACAAGCATTTGCTATTTCATTTTTCGTTTTTTTCACATAAAATAAAATTTTCGGTCAAATATTTGGATATGAGCATCTCAATTTATCATCTGATGCTAAATTTGGTTTTTTTTTTTTACTAAATAGAGGAAGAAATAGTATTGGGTTTTCTTGTTTTGTCGGATTTTTGTCCAAAAATCAAAGCTTTACTAGTACAAGAAGCAGCTTAGATGATTTTAAAAGACCTTTTTGGTTGTTTCCATTTAGTTTAATGGTTTGTTAATTTTTTTTTCTTGATGCAGATGCTTAATTTTGCATACTTAGACAGTTGAGATCCTGCTTCTTCAAATTGCGTTTTGTTGATTTTGTAATTTGAGGCTTGAACAAGTGACATTTGATCTCCGGTTCCCGCAATCCCAGCATTTTATTCCTTTTGATCTGCTTGAATTGCTTCTAAGCATTTAGTGCAATAGTCTGAATGTTCTTGCCAAAAGATCTTGAATTCTTCCCTGTTTGCGAGTCGAAGCTAAGTCTTGAATATCGAGCACATTATATGTGGTAATAATTTTAATAGCATTGTGCTTGTATATGATACTACTTTTTCAGTGTTCATCAATTGGTTCTTTATTATAGTTCTAGCTTGCACCTGATTATGGATGACAATGCATGAAAATATTGATGAATTTATGGTTGAGTTGTAGGTTTGTGGCAATGGCCACTTTCTTTGTTTCCATTTGGTCATGGTACTGGAATTTTACTGCTTGATTCTGCACTTAATGTGAATGACTAGTTATAAAGCTTTGTGATTTTGCACAAGAATAGAGTGCTTGCGAATAGAGTATCTTTACATGTCAAAATGGAAGGCAGAAAAGATGTTGGAAGAAAGATTGATTTGCTAATCTGGCTTAAAGTTGCCATCTTTTTCCCAAGTATCTAAGTTGCTTTGGATTTCTAATTATGAGTCTTGAAGTCATCTTGATTATGAATGTTCAGCAGATGAGTTGATAAAAAGGCTAGGTTAATTAGTGTTAAAAATAATTACACAAAATTTGAGCTGGTCAGTTCTGGTAACATGATTTTGCATATGCTTAGGTGCATTTGCATGTGTGCGGTTCTGAAATGTGAGTTTGAGTTTGTATCCTGCATGTTTATCTATGTTGCTTGAAAGGGACTATGCCAATAAAAGAACAAAGTAACAGCCTCACGTATCTTGAATCTCAAGACAGTAGGATCTGAAAAGTAAAAACAATAAAAATATCTTGTTCAACTGGTTTTAGTCGTTTCAATATACTATTAAACAACAATTATAATGTATGAGGGAGCGGGTTATGAGCGGAAAGACATAACAGTTGCTCATCTTGGGCATATTATCTTAGACTGAATGATTTATTGGAAGAACATTTTATCCTTTACCAATGTGTCATTAGGTGATGCTTGATAGACTCAGAGGCGATCTCTTGTAAACATTCTCTTTTAGCTTGTTAGGTTTGGTTAATCCTCTTGTTATTTGCTGCTTCCTACTTCCAGAATTTTTTTGTTTTGTGGATCATCTGCTATTTATGCTTGGAATGCCCTGAACGAGACAATTACTGCCTTGTGCATTCCATGCGGAAAGTCTCTTGGGATAAAGAAATAGTCAATCAACTGCTTTCCTTATAACCATAAACCTGTCAATACAAGTTCATATATTGATCTCTAATTGAGCTGGCATTTTAGAAGTTAAAACTATTGGTACTCTGTTTTTGTTTTGATCTACTTGACCTATTGGGATTTCTCGTTGCATGCTATGTAAAATATAGTTACTTGCCTGCACCTCCTGTCAAAAATCAATATCTGTTGTCACTGAGAGGTGTTTCTTTGGGTTCAAGATGATAGTGGCTGGGGCTTTCGCTTGCTGAAATATGTGATACACCAAATGCAACTGGTCAATCCTATATTACCTGGGAAAGCTAAAGACTTCAGGAGTTTCAGAAATTATTTTGTAAGTTGGTTGGAATATTGTGATTTTTTAAAATACTTTACATAATTTCCTTCCTGCATTGCATAACCCCTCTCTATCTTCTTTTTTCCCTTTCATAACTAAAATGAGAATTTGATGTTGTGCTTATTTTTCAGATTTCAACTACTGGCCTGTGCTTGTGTATCCCTTTTGTATTTTGACCTAAGAAGCACGCAGATTGAACAGGCATTTGTTTTGGAAATTTGGAATAATATTTAGCATATCTGACATATTTCTAGGTAGATATTGTCCCTGATGCAAGGTCAGGGGGGCACCATTGATACCTTCCCTGAAACTGTTAACATTGATGAGGGATCTAGTCCGAAAACACCACTATCGGTCAACCGAATTCTTTGCCTAACATGCTGAATCCTGCGGAAACTCAGTTATCCAGTTATACAGTATCTTCTGGTGGGACAATGCATGGAAATGCTATTATTCCCGATATTCAGAGCTTCAGTGGCTGGAGTTCTGGTGAACGGAGCTCAAGATTGAGACTGCAAAACCAGGTGATGCAGGGTGTTCTAAATCACCATCTTAATGATGATGGGACAAAAATGGAATGCAGTTGGTCTTCTTCTCACGGTGCTCGTGTTGGGGTTGCTCCAAGGTCAGAAGAAATGCGGATCGAACCACCGAATGTCTTTTTTCCTGGGAGACTGAATAATGGACAGAGTGGCAATCAGGTAAGAAGTGGGCCCATATATATGCAGGGTTCCAGCTCTAATCGTGTCCTGCAGAATGTGAATCTAAATGAAGGATTTATTAGCAGTAGTGGTACCAGGGGTTTAGGTGTGGGAATTGGTGGAGGTCCTAATCTCCACAACTCAGGTGGACTAGAAAGAGAACAGATATCTAATGCAATTGTTTCTTCTGATAATATTGGTAGTTCATCTGGAAGCTCTAATTATGTGGGGGACAAAACTAATGATGGTTCAGGCTCCTCTTTGGGCAGTTGTGGTTTATCCTGCAAGAGGAAGGCCCTTGAAGGTACTTCTGGACAGTCTTATTCTGCTGGTACTTCAAGCTGTTTTCAACGAATTGAAAATGCGGCGTGGCATGATGGTCCTGCTGGTAATGATGCTTCCAGCAGCTTGAGTTTATCTACACCCTCTCGGAATTTTCTTAATGTAAGTCATCCTGATCAGCTGAATCCAAGAGTTGTGCTTGGTTTGAGAGGGGTTGTTCGTGATGCATTTCCTTCTCAAGTGTAAGAAGAGGAAATCCGGGAAACC